TATTATTAATTATTATTATTAATTATTATTACTACTACTACTACTGTTGCTGTTGTTACTATTACTACTATTATTACTATTATTAATTTTTCTCTTCCCTTGCTTCCTATTAAACTATCTCAACCCACAAGTTTTACCTTTTTTTTTCTGATTCTCCTCCCCCTCCCACCATGGAGGTGGAGGAGCAAGCAAGTGGTGCTTAGTTGCTGTCTGGGGTTAAACCACCACAATGATCAATACTGCCCTCAGTCACTCATTGGTCGAGAAACTATAATGTAAGAATATCTGTAGGGGAATAGAGCGTTGTATCACAAAATCAAGACAATAGATTTTGATTTCCTATAATAATTTGTTATCTTATCATTTTCCTATGATTTAAAGTTTAGTTGCTGTAATTATTTAGAAAATCAGCAGTTATATATTTATTTTGTATATATGTATATATTTGTTTACAAAAGTTAGGCTGGCAAAGTAAGGTAGAAAAGTGGGATTATAACTAAAATTGTACAGAATATTCCTGGAGCTATTTAATTCTTCTGTAGTCTTTCTGTGGGTTTTGCTTCTTTTTTTCCTTTTTCTTTTCTTTAATTCTTTTTAACTGTGATCCAGCAGAGCTAGATTTTCATTAGGAATACTGCCAGCAGATTACAAGCTTTTTTTGATGAACTATAAAATCTAAGCAATTTGTGGGCACAATGAAAAAACCATAGTAAGTAAGGATTTCATTATTTCAATGAACAGTTACTAAAAGTATTATGAAATCTTAAATATAATCAAAAGGAAGGTGCAGCAGAAATATATTCTTTTCCTTGAAGAATTACATAAAAATAGAACCCGATTTCTTCACTGACAAACTTGTAAGGCATGTATTCAGAATAAGTATGTTCCAACAGCACTGAACAAGGATGCACAAAATAATGTGATTACTGGTCTTTCTAAATCTAACATGCAAGTGGGTCTGCCCCATATATGCAAAGAGGTCCATGTGTGTATATATAGACACATACATGCATGCACAGGCTCACACACACTCTTTTTTCAATTGAAAAGAAAATAAACTCTTAGGAATAATAGCTACCTAGTAGCAGCTTCATACACATCACTTCCATTTTTATATGAGGTTAAATCTGTGCAGTACGCTAAAAGCAAGCATTACCTACAAAAAGTCAAATTCAGCCCTTATTGACCATTTCTTCAAATGAAAAAAAGCAAGACACAAATTAGTTTTATTGGTTTTGAAGACAGTAGTATACTAGAATTTCAGGTCTACATGTTCCACAAAAACACAGAACCTCCTACTTTCATGAAATATGTGACCTTTTTTTTTATTTCTGATCTTCTATTTTGATTTTTCAGAAACAGTTATGTATGTCATATATAACTGACTTACAATCATGCAAGTTATAGGAAAAAAGATACTAAACTGACCAATTCAGGAAAAAATATGGAGTCTAAACATGCATTTCTGTATTTTTTTTACGTCCTTTAAGATACATGCTCTGTGTCAACAGCACTCTTTCAGTTACTGAAGATCTGTAGCGGAAGTTTATACTTGGCACCACTTTTTGCAGGCCCATACACCACACTAGTTTTAAAACTTTCAGAATTTGGCTATTAAAACTGATTTTCACATAATCAAATTTAAGGACCTAGATTATATTATATTGTCAAAACAGTTGTGGGGTTTTTTTTAATTCTTAATAGTGGAGACATTATTAAGTTACTTAGGCACAACACAATAAAATGAATTAAAGCTTTTTAGATTTCTCGTTCCCTTTTGTACAGTACAGGAAGGAAGAAAAGTAGGTCCCTGATTTACGGCCTGAGTAGTCTCCACTAATGGATTTTCTTTGGAAAATGTATCAAGTCTCATGTATATTGTTCTAAAAAATGCATTTATTCAACTCACTGATTTCTGACATAATTTAACTAAAAAAATAGTGACTGACAAAACATGCCACATCTTATTTGCTCTGCTTATCTCACAGATAGTAGTGTTTGCTTGAGCCAAAGGTAAGGCAAAGTAAGTATCATTCTCAACTCTGTTTTACAATCGTGAATAATACATAAACATACTTTTCATATTTGATTTGCTGTTTGAGTTTCATTATGACTTTAGGTGCTCCATTCCTTGTAAAATTCCTATAGTTTTGAAATTTATGCCAAGTAAAATTTGGAGAACTATAGTATCTTTCTATGAAGAATGGGAGTAGTTTTGAAATTTATGCCAAGCAAAATTTGAAGAACTATAGTATCTTTCTATGAAGAATGGGAACATCTGAGCTTTAAATAGATAATGCTGAGAAGTGTTTGGAAGTCACAGTTTAGATTTTAAGTTATTTACTAACTTCACTAAGAAGAGTGAGTTAGAGCTCATGCAAGGCATGACCCTAATCACCCTACGTTTGGTAGCCCCCGTGCCTTCCTCTTAGGCATACAGCTTTGGTTCCTTGTCAGAGCTGGGCTACTGAGCAAGATGGAGCAAAGACTTGCTGTGTCACAGCAATTCCTATTTCAATGAGATTTAAAAGCTAGAAAGGAATGCCAGATCAAACCACAAAAACATTCTGTAAAATACTTAAAATATTTTGTTTTTTATCGTAAGTGGAGTAAAACATGAACCTAAAATCCTTTCTGTAATAAAGTCCCACTTTTTATTACTTTAAGAGCATGTCATTGATTCTGATGCATCTAAAATAACATCCTACTGTATACAACTATCTATATTCTAGTCTAATATTCAGGCAGAGTGATTGTTTGAGCAACACTATTAATTACTATTCTGGGCTTCAATACGCTTACTACATCTATCATCTGGTCCAACTACATGATTATATCCTTTTTGGCTTAAAATTTGTAACTGAGTAGTGTAGAAAAGTATTACAATCTTTTTGTTAAAGCTGACCAAGCTTTACATTTTGAAAGAATCACTTCTACTGTTCATCTGGCAATAAAAGAAAACCAAGGGGAAAGGGTGAGATATTTGATGATATAAATAAACAATATTGTTACTTACCTTAGTTTAGATTACCCTGGCTATGTGAGAGGAGTGCTGCAATATGGGTGCACTCTATGCTAGGCTGAAGCTTTCCCTCTATCCCCCTCCTTTTCTTTTAGTAAGAAAGAACCCTTGGGGTCAGGTCCTGCTCACACTGAAGACGAGCAGAAGTCTTCACTAGGGTTCAATAGATGCAGGACAGGGACTTTAAAACATTTTTTTTTCCTTTTGTATCTTTCTGTATGAGCTTTTGTTGCTGCAGGCTATGCAGATACGAAGCTTTTAAGATTTCTGAAGTTGCAATAAAGAGTTGGAAGTCTTATGTTCCTAATGAAGAAGCATCATCCTGTTGTCTAATTTATCTGAAATCACTGACCCCAATTTTCCTGTGTTGTTTTTAAAGAAAAAATATTGTATTTACTCTTGACTAAGAAATCAGAGGTAGTTTTTAAAAAGATATTTTTTGCCACTATGGGTACAACCTTTTATCCGAGTTACATAACTGCCATTCATTTGCTCAGATTTCAATTCCCCCATTCGTACTCTTCTGCTAGAAGACATTTTCTATACATAAAAAGCTGCTCTTAACCAAAGCATTATCTGCTGTTACTACCCACATATGTCTCTTTGCACCTCCTTGCCTACTTGTAAACAAGGCTTCTAAGAGATAAAAACTTTTCATTATCAGGACAGAAAGTTGTTATGGTACATATTCTAAAAGGCATTTGTATATTGTTTCTTGCAGATGCCTAATGAGCAAAGAAAATGAGTATCTCAGAAACTTATTCTCAGCTGGAAAAGCTTCTCTCATGAATGGTCTGTACCCATATACACGTAACACAGATGCCACAGATGAAATAATGGTAAACCATGTGCGGTGAGAGTCCTGTTTCCGAAGAGCGTGTCGCACTCACCTGTTTGGCTAAGTTGAGATGTGCTTCTGCTCCTTCGAGACACTATGGCAACCACTTTGGCACTAAGGCTGGAACGCCTTTTCTTCCCACCTGTTCCAACCGTGCCGACAGCCGTGTCCGACTGACTCCCATCATTGTGCTCCAGCTTATACATCTCTCCGCTCACACTTGTGCTCTTAGTGATTCTCCCTGAAGTCCCCATCCGTCTGCCTTGCATTTTAGGAGTAAATGTACTACAGTTACAAAGTAAAAACAAACATGTTAATTTGTCTGTGTAACAGCATTTCCAAAAGCCTTTTTTTTTCATTAGTAAATTAATTTTAAGTCTTGATACATTTTCATTTATTTGGTTCACAAATAAAGGGTTAATTTGATCCTCCTCAGAATATGTATTTCCAGTATCATAATTTGTTCTTCACTTCTTCAAGGGAAGTTAAATGAACACTTTCCCATGTTTTTCAGAGTGACAGAAAGACACACTGGCAACATTTAAAAGTCATGTGGAGCTTTCCTGTCTGTATCTCCAGAATACAGAAAGCAATAAAACAGCAATTTTACGACCACAGAAAATGAATATGGGCCATGAGAATATATGTAGCTTAATACATGTATCTTATTGGCACTGTTCACCAAAGCCTTAAGACCTAATATAGATATGAAGATATCATCTTCTATGTTTTCATACTTCACAGAGTGAAGAGATAATGTAATGTAATGTAATGTAATGTAATATAATTAATATGTAGTATTTTTTACATCTTCACTCTCTCGCTTCTTTAAAGGTAAACGCAATAGTCATAGTAGGAAGGCAAAATAGTTTTGAGGCAAAAAACCCTAAGAACTCAATAGAACTTTCATTGATGGACAGAAAGATGAATTGCTCTGTCAGTCCTGTTTGTTTGATTTTTGTTTAGCTATTGTATTGCATTTGAGTGTTTCTGTACAAACTCTTTTTCTGCTCCTGCACATAGGCTGGATAAAGTATTCAGAAACATGTTCTGGAGAACAATCTTAAATAGACGCAGGACATATCAATACACAGTCCTAACGTCGCTACGACCAAGCGACGCCCTAGCTCAATGGCAATAGGAAGTTAGCTCTCACCCGGCGGAGACCCAGAAATTTAAGCTGCAGCCTGACTCTTCAGGTGCAGCTGTTAAATCAGCCTAGCAGGTTCGCTTCCCAGCAGATGTGATGAACGGGCTCTCTCCCCAGGACCCCAAATAAGAGAGGGGTTAGAGGCACAGGCTTCTTTACCTCAGGCAAGTTTCAGACAGAAAGGAACTCTTGAAATCTTGCCAGGGAGAAATGAAGGGGTCTTTGGGAGAAGAACTGACATCCTGTTACTTGTACCGATCTGGGTCCTGGGCTTAAATCAGTCCTGTCCAAAGACAGATCCAGGAAAGTATAAAGTGACATATACCCAAATTATGTTTTACTGACAGTTAGCAAGATTTACTAATGTCTGACCATATGTAAGACGAGATAAAAAAAGACAATTTTTTTAAAGAAAAAGCAAAGGAAAAGTAAAGTCCTCTACCAGACAACACTTAATAGAAAAGTCATTATCAATGTCCACATAGGCATTTTAACTATGTTCAGCACTTAGGATCTGCTGTTTCTATGTAAAACGCCTTTGTATTTCATTGTAGACAGTATTTGTATTTTATTGTAGCTCCCAGCACACACTGCCTCACATGTATGTGAGCACATGCACACACACACACACATATTCAATCATTCTAGGAAGAATTTCAATGGCACTTTTTGGTCATTTCAAAAAAACCTCACAAAAAGACCATCTTCCACAAACATGCAAGTATCAAGGAAAATGTTTTGTCTAAGGCAAACTAGTTCCGTTCACTTAAAAATAATATCAAATTGAGAAAAAATGCCCTAAATATTTCCCATTTTCAAAATAGAGACAGATTTTCTTGAGGGATATAAATATTAATGTCACAGCTTTAATATAAATCATGTCCCTAATATAGTATGGGTGTTTACTTCATAGGCTACATTTACTGCTGCTTTTTAAAGTTGCAATGATCACTAAATAACGATATTTTTATTGCTGTTCACAGAATGCAACAACCTCCACTTTACAAAATACCTACCTAGCAGCTACTTTTGTTTCAAGTAACATGGATTTCTTTCTTTACTTTTCCGCAAATACTGTAACTTGAAAAAACATGAATTGGGATTGCCACCTAGTGAATAGCAAATTAATTTAAAAAAGCAGTGATGAGCATCACAAAATTAATGCTGAAACGTCTGATAAAAGTATTTTTTCTACAGTTTGAGAAGATTTAGTGAAATTTTTCTTAATTTTGGGCCTGGATATTGGTCCATAGCTCTAGCACAGAATTCTGGCTATGGCCAGAGAATCTTAGGAAATGTTTTCTCTTTAAGAAGAAGTCATGTTACTAACTCGCACACTTATCAAGAAAACCTTAAAACTAGAGATCAAACGTTACAGTGTGACAATACTGTCTAAATACGCAACCAACCTGCATCATTAGCTCGGCGTGCTGCCACAGAACCCCCGTATTCGAACAGAAACTTCAATCCCTAATTCAGTATATCAGGGCTTGCCAACATCACCCCTTCATCAGCCATTTTCCGATGCCAAGTCCCTTCTCCTCCCCTGCTGAGGAGACAAGGCCCCACACTCGTGCCCGTAGGGTGCTAGAAGGCAACACCATTGACTGGTTGCTTCTCTGGAGGAGGAGATGTTTTGCCATTTCAAGCAGCGGGCAGACCGAAAGTACAGTCTGGTACTTGGAGGGGGCAGAACCACACAGGCCTCGTTTTCAGGGGTCCTACTTTCTACTTTGATTAGACATGGATAATTCCTTTCCACATGGATAATTCCTTTCCACCAGTGCTTGGAATCGGATTTCAGTGACTACTTCTGTGATGCTGATGATGCCTCCTACTCAGAGCTTTCTTTTGTTCCCGTTTTGAGCCATGGAGTTGTCAATTCTGGAACTCCTGAGTTTATGCATCAATACTTCAGTAAGAGAAAGGGAAGAAACTGAATATACTTCTTTTGAGAGCATCTGCTGACATTTGAGTTATATTGACATGTACTTTGCTGACATTATAATCTATAAACATATCGTTTACAGCAATAAAGTTTAATGGACTAAAAAACCTGCCATGCAATTAAAGAAATAATTGGTTATCTTACTATTGACTTTGCTCTGAATTTCAGGTGTTTATGAATATAATAAATATTAATCTTACGATGTTTTTATGCCAGTCTACACTTTTTTGTACAACGGAGCTGAAATGCTCTAATCTCACATTGTTTAATAAGAATTTAGAAGACAATGATGTCCATCAACTGAGAAATAAGAATTGATAGTATCGTAACTACAGAAAAATCCCATGTTTTATGTATTAATTCCCTAATTCAAGGACTATGATGAATACTTTCTGAATAATAGATAAATTGTTTTTTCAAAGACACACAATTTCAATTTTCATTCTTTGTGACAGGTAGCGGGACCTAGAAGATTCACCTTAATAAAAAAAAATTGAAATATTTGGAATTCAGATCAATCCTGTATCTGTTTTTACCTTGCAAATATCAAGTCCTATTTTCCTAGGAAATATGTTCTAGTGTAGTTCTAGTACAAAATAGCTATTAGTTTGCTAGAAACCGGCTTAATGGGATAGGGCCAAGGATCAAATCCTACAGCTGTCCAACACCTCCCCTTGTGATAACTAAGCAAACAGATTAAGATTCCTTTGCGTTCATCTAATCCCTGGGCTAGTTTGTTATTTGACATTAATTGGAACAGTATCAAAAGAACAGGCATTTATAACTCCATCTCCTTATACCATCTAATTGAGTACCCCTAAACCACAATATTTTTCTACTCCATTACTGGCTATCACTTGGAGAAATAGCTGTTACTTTCTTCAACATAGTTAGAGTTTAATTTATGAAGCACAAAGGAGCAAAAGACCTGCATGAATTTGCATATATCCTTTTGCACATAACCCTTCTGATAATGACATACCTAAAATTTTATTTTCCTTTACTGGACTTGCTGGGATTATTGACACCTTCATTTAAATGCAGACACATGGTTTTGTGGGCCTGTGGCTAAAATTGGTAAATTATTACATTATATTGTTGATTCAAGCCTAGATATGATAGCACAATAAATAAAACCAGTTTTCAGTAGCAGGATAAGCAGGATAACTAAGAGTAACATATTTATCAGCATAATCCATTTATTTCTAAATTAAATAATTCACTACCTTTTATTTAAAATTATTTTACCATCTTCAGCAATTCTCTCAATGACTAGTTCAGCAAAAATCTTATGCTATTTCTAATTAGTGGCATAACAATGTTATCAATGTGTATATTAAAAATAGGTACAGACAATCTATCTGCGCCTCTGTTTTACTTCACAGATATTTAGCATGGAAAAAGAGTCACTTGATTTTTAACTTTTTTTTTAATGGAAGTTAACCATGAGGGCAAAAACTCTTTTCACCCCAGCAAGAGCAGAGCTGCTCCCCATCCCGCCTGGGCCCCCCAGAGCTCTCTGAGCACTGGGGTCAGCCACTAGCCCTGGGCTCTTGCGTCAGCTGGGAACACACCGTTCCCTTTACCAAGGGAAAAACCCTTGCATTTTCCTGCCAAAACTTATGCAGTTCACATGGATTCTACCTAAAGTGGTATCTGTACTACACAAGGCAAAATCAAGACTGTATTTACATGTCAGCCATCAGACCTGTGAAAGAAAGCAGCACTCTCAGTTTTGCAGGCTGATGCTACCTGAAAGTTGTATCTATAGGAATGAAGAATGAATTATTAAGATAAAAAACTTATTCAAAGAGTAGTTTGAGTTACAAGCTGCCATAAAAATTAACCCTTAGGTAAATTCTATAAAGTGAAAACAGTACAAGGGCACTGTGGATTATACTTGCTAAATTATTAAACTAAGGCATACACAAGTATATAGAACTGAAACAAAGCCAGATACATATATTAAATCATTGTATACCTTTCTAAATACAGATACCTAATACATTCAAGATCATAAAATTATACTGGCTGAATTTTTTGGATTGAGAAAATTACTATACAGATATACACTCAGTATTTCTCGTAAAATACCTGCCAGTAGTACATATCACCTGTAAAAGAAAGATAGTAAGATACAGGAAGCTAGAACAAACTTTTCCCATAAACTCACCTATATAACATCTG